TAAGGTGAGGGAAAAGCTTCTGGAACTATTATATCAATGTTTCTGATGCTTCATATTGTTAATAATAACAAATTTGTTTCTAGAGCTGGGAGACTTTACCATAAAAGACTAAAGAATCTTTTGCTCAGATGACCAAAGACAGTTGTAAATGGACAGAACATACTCAAAACCATCTTGCCAGCTGACTCCTCAAAGGAGAATATAGTAATGTCCCTTTTAATTTTAAGTCTAATATGGTAGCTCAAATTCCAATAGCTAATGGAGAGGTTAGTAATAGAGAGGATGACAATGAAAATTATCTGCTAGATCTGATTGTTAAGATTGAGAATGATAGTTATCCTTGCCTATTCAAAGACTTTGAATTTCTCAAGCTCAAGAATAGGCAATAGCTTATTTGCACTGTCTTTCAAAAGGCCTACAGTGAGTTGATTTGTCTGATGTAATTTGATTGTTTACTTACTTACTCTAGCTATTATTACTAACAATCCCTAGGCTCCAGTGTTCTGGGGTTTAGGATGCATCCTCCCACTTACAAAAGGACACAATCACTGTGATATACTCTCACTAAAAAGATCATGCTAGTTATAACATGCTAATTGTACATTTTGTTAGATATAGGCAAGCCGATTTCTATGATGCTTATACCAAGAAGGAAGCTGCAAAGATAACTTAAAAAAGAAGCCTAACTATGTTGAAGTTTATTTAAGATATTACCTAGTTGTAGCTCACATATTATCTGCATCATTAGGCTCAGTACTTATGAACACATTATTCTTTGGAGTTAATGTCAAAGGAAAATACTGTTGTATCAAAATATCAAAGGAGGTGGAACCTAATAGAACTTCTGAGATAGATAGAAGATCAAGCACTTATTTGATGTTTGGTATAGAGTGAACTATTTTAGGAATGAGAGGAACACATATCCAAGGCAGGAGATAGATTCTTTGGCTGTTTAGATGGCCCTCAGCCACTATCATTTTGTGTTATCTCAACATATAGAATAGTACATAACCAATTGATACACTTACCTTTAGTAATAAAGCATGCAATCACATACACTTCTACTTTGTGACTGTCCTAGGACTCAATGCAGGGCTGACAGCATCATTATCATCAGTATCTTCATATCATTGAATTCATTGATAACATCTGTCTCCTCACCTGTTAGGGATAGCCAAGGAATATTGAGATCCAACATTATATTAATAATACTGTTAGCAGTGTAGATGTTGTATTTAAAAGCATATCTAGGAATCATAGGTGGTGAAGAAGGTATCAGCCAAAATCTTGGATTGCTGGCACCTATGTTTGGATCATTGGCTGCTTTTCCAAGAGCATGAAACAGGTGACTAAGGAAGTGAGGTCATGATTTAATGTGAACTATTATGGAATATAAATGTTTCATTTCTAACATTTTGAGGAACTGATCATTATGGTCAAATATTAATGTTCTAGGATCATTAGGAATCATAATCATATTTACATTATTATCAAGGTTGAGTATTATGAGTTATTGGAATTGTAGAAGCATTCATGTTTTGATTTTGATAGACACCTGTGTATTGCCATGTTCAAATGCTATCCTTATCTATATATTCCACTCCTCCAATATAAAAGGAGAGGTATTTGAGTCTAAGTTTCCATTGTTGACCTACAATGTGCGAGTATATGTATCTATACATAAAAAATTTGACCATAACATCCTCTGTATTGTCATTTAATTTCAGTATTGACAACACGTACAAAAACTATAACTCACAGACATAGATAACTCAACCTCTGAATTATCAATATTAGGTGTGTTGATCTCATATTCACTAGGAACATCAATTGACATTTGAAACATAATATTACAATTTTGTTCTTTTTTTGATGGCTGTAATATGTGGGAGATCAGTGTCTTATATTATGTCAGGCCATATCACTGATAGTATCTAACTTAGTGAAGGACTTGATATTACTACATGAGGCTGATTCATCTTAGTCAGTGTCTGACTGTACCATATGTGCTATAACCTATCTTGCTTCTGTGCCCTTGCTATTCCTATGGAGGCTCAGAGACTGTGATTGTAAGAGGTAAATTTTAACATTACATATTGCAGGCAAATAAATAACTCATAGTTGATAGTGGAATGTCTAGCTCATCATTGCTAGAACTCTATAAGACATCCTTGCTATCTTTGGAGGTGAATATTTGTGCTACTGCATTTTGCTTTCTCTCACCTTTGGCATTATGCATAGCTTTCCCTTCCCTTTGAGTGACTTTGACTTACATTGTGCCTTTCAATCCTTTAGTAATTTCTTCAAATCTTCCTACTTCTCGAATATATCTATCATGGTTGTGTTGTCATTCATCTACATAGAGTTATTGCTATTATTTCAGAACAGAATGATCCCTTATCTTGTGGTTAGACTATAAGTTTTATATGGGTATTTCTGTCCCATCATCTAATACAAAGTCACTGTGATTTCCATAATTCTTAACAGATTGTGATTTGCCTGCAGCTGGTGTCTTATAGATGCTTGACTTGTATGATTGGAGGGATTTTCTGAATTGTTTGATGCAGCCTCCTAGTTGTTCTGTGTGATACTTAGCTTTGGCCTCACTTGCCTCATATTTGCAAGCAAAGTATTAGTTATGTTATCAGTGTTTTTTGTTTATTTGAGCATACCACCACACATATCTTCCTTATCTGCACACAGTGCTTTGTGTGACATTTTGGATGTCACTATATTTCATGTAACATAAGCAAAAATATATTAAGAACATTAAAATAAAGAGCTTATGCATTTCAATCTCTTTGTAAATCATTTTGTCTTTAAACTGAGCCCATATTCTCTTTATTCTTTTCAAGACAATCTTCTGATGTGCTACAGTAAATGCACTATCATGTAGTGTAAGGGTAATGTAAAAATCGAGATGCACAGAGTGTTACTTTAATATTATACTTTTCAGTCCCTCTTGCCTCACTCCACTTACAAATGCATTAAGAACATCATCATCTAACAGGCAAGAGACATATAGGATGTAGACTGCCTAGAATGATGGGAAGATTCAGTAATATAGCATGATTTCCTGATACATGAGATGCTGATGACCTAGCACATTAAGAAAATTGATACACTTTTTGGAACTATCACCTAAGCTAGATGGTTAGTTAAGACACCCAAATGTCAAATTAAACAAACCATATCATCTTTATCACCAATAACTAATATATTAATCTTATTTTCATTCTCCTTGATGATGGGGAATATAAATACAATTGATATCATCTTAAGAGTAAGCCCTAATCTTCCAAGCAAATGGATCTGACATTGGAAAGAACATGTTTGATGATTTACTAATGACATCTGAATCAAACATAGCCATATATATGACATGTACCATCAATATGTTCATCTTTCTATGTAGCATACTATTAGCATTTTAATTCTAATCATTATACTTTAGTCACAAATGTTGTTTGTTGAACTTTAGATATACTTCTCATGGACGACTATGAATTGCCTAGTGAAGACAGTGACAGATGTTTCAGGGCGCAAAAGGCAGTATCAGTGCTAACCCCACCTTTAGTATCAGAATTAGCACCAGAACCAGGATATGCACTAAAGCCTTCGTTGAAAGGTGAACTAAATTATTACAAGTGCCCAATCTGATTCTAACTTATCATACTTCAGGGATATATTTGACTCTATTCTTGCTTTGCAGACATATCTACCATAGATGTGATCATTGTTTCTGCATTAAATAAATTCATAGGAAATATCTAACAATATGCCTCTGCCTTAGCTCCATATATAGAAATATAGTGGTACCTTTAGCCAGCTCTTGGTCCCATCCCATCATATTTCAGGCCCTCTGCGCCCATCTTCTTGTATTGACTTCAGAGGTATGCTGCTTTTATTCATGAATATATATATATGCTCACTGAACGCCTTTTCCTATACCATACCTTCAGGCATTTCCCTAGGTATACTAGTGGACTACCTACCCCATTACATTCCTGCTAGAGTGTATTTGGGATCATTTTTTCCCTCTTGTAGAGAGAGGTATGAAACCTACTCCTCAAGCCATTAAACTCTGTTCTGTACTTGAGTGCTGTAGGTAAACAACTTTTGCTGGACACCACACAAAATAAGTGTCTAGCAAAATATAATAGTTGTGGTCTAGCACAGCCTAGTCTGCTATACTTGCAGAACAAGTGTGTTCGACCCGAGAGGTTAACTATTGGTAGTAGAATAATTAGTTATACAAAAAAGAAGATAGTCTGAAGCACAGGAAACAAAGTCCAAAGGTAAAACATCGGGTCCAATGTTTTTCAGGTTTCGGATTAGTGGGTTTCGGCGAGTTTTGTTGGATATCGTCGGGTTAGTGTCGGGTTAGGAAAGGAAGGTCGGGTTACTGACAGTGTTTTGGATAAAGAATGGGTGATATTTGTGGAATTCAGTGAAGAACTACAAATATCCAATAACCTCCTCCTACTTGGAGGTAGAAAGGTAGATAAGTATGAAGGAGGTATGCAAAATATATAGTGTCTATGTAGAATTTCGGAGTGCTATAGGCGAAAGTAGTAGTGCTAATTTTCAGGTCTGATGTCCTATGTAATAAGACATGTGGTACTGCAGACATGTAATAACGTGTTCTACAATGTTAGTGATGAGAAAACTGATAACTGCGCACCTAGTGGGGATAGGTACAACCAGTCAGGACCTAGGGAGGACAAATGCGCAGGAAAATATCAGATCTGAAGTGGCCAATGCATGGGAATCATCAGATTAGTGTCAGATTTAGTGGATAAGCGTCGGATTGAGCTGATGAGTGTTGGATAATATTGAAAGTGATTCATGTATGACATGCATCAGAAAATAGCTGAATACGAGCTCAGTGCTAGCTCGAGTGCTACAGTGCGCTTTGACTTATGCTCATATTTGAAATACCAAGGTAATTGCTACCAGTCTCATGAGGCCTTTGTGGTTAGTCTAGAGTCCATTAGAACATGGCCTGCCTACTTTTTCTCCTTCTGTGTACTTTGCTGCACCTCCTTCTATTCCTGTTGCAATCAGCCCTGCAGATTGGTCAATGCTTACCAGCATGAAAGTCCCAGTCATTGCCTCCAAGCGCTCTCAAATTTTGATATATGGCAATGACCACTTTAAGGTTTGTGGTTTCTGATCTACTACATCAGAGCCGCCATTCATTCTGCTTGTCTCCCAGGCTTACAAAGCTAAGTTTCATATAACACTTTCTGTTAATTAACTCTCTTCCAATACCTTCCTTGAGTACTCTAGCAATCTCCGCCATGCCATTATCATTGCATTAGTCACTCTCCAGGTGTATATTGCTGATGTTAAGACTCTTGTCACTAAAGCTGTTGCTGCTGCCTGCAGTAATATGGAGGTAGATGATGGCAGTGATGGGGATCTCCATGTGGCAGGGTGGTGCTCCAATACATGCTAATAAGTTCCTGCACAATGCATAGATCTGCATGCAATCAAGTGCAACCATACCCAGTTAGGCAATACAGCAGCCAAAGCATCCCAGCAAGCCCAGGCTGCTGATTCTAGGGCTGCATAGTCTGCAGACTCCATTGCCCTGCAGTCACTGCCAGATTATATCCTTAGATTTCAACTTCCTGGTGAGTTTTCCCTTGAGAGCATTGATCTTGTGGATAGCTCATCCTCAGACAGTCAAGATCCCAGCTCACAAGAGATTTATGAATGAGTATTTGCCAATTTCAACATCAATAGGGTAAGAATTTCCCTAAGCCCTGGAATGCAAAGAATAGTGCAAAGAGTATTAGTCCACTTCTTCTAGTGCGCTTAGAGCTTCTATGGTGCGCGTCACTTAGCCACCACTACCTTTGAACAGTGGCCAAATCGGTCTGAGGAAAAATTTCAACCCTAACCCTACGTGTGCAACTCCAACGGATGCTTCGATATTAGTTTGAAACATGTAGCGCTACAGTAGACAACGACAATTTATCGTGCAGATGTCGTTTTTACCAGTCTCTGATGCCCAAGAACCACAGGAAGGTAGCAGCCGCTCACGCTAGGGCCGCACGATGGTCAGCTCCAACAGCTCCAACTGCCGAGCACAGTAACTCCACTCTTCAAGCCACCCCCGCACAAACCTATTCCGAGTTGCAGGAACAAACATCAGAGCCGTCCAAACTCTGTGGCAGGGAAGTTAACCTGATAGAGCTGGACTCCGAGTATGAGTGTGGTTATACTGGGGGTGTCAGTTGTTATTGGTCAGATACAGGTGATGAATATGAAACAGACTCGAATGCTGATAGCGAAAGGTCGGAGTGCGATAGCCTCTGCGAGCTGGAGGGCAGCGAGCTTGAGGAAAACTTGAGGGAGCTCCGAGAAGAGGTCATAGCCCTGGGCACATCAGTGGACAGTTTGTTCGACAAGGGCCAAATCATCCCTTTTGTTTTTAAAAAACTCGCTCAGATTTGATTCAATCAATAATTCCTCTTGTAGCTTTACTCTACTCATCGAAAGGATTATTTTTACAAGAGGAAATAAAAATCTGATTTTTTTTCGAGGGGGTGAGAACGTTGTTCAAAAGTAGTGGTGGCTAAGTGACGCGCACCATAAGAGCAATAGATGGCAGAGCGTGGAAGGGTAATCTACCTTTTGAAAATTAGAAGCTGCTCTTTGCAGAAGCTGTAGCTGCAAAACATCAGGAGATCATGGCATGTCTGGCAGATCGCCAGTATGGACCTTTCAGATTGAGAGTTATATTCTTGGGCATTGACAAAGCTGTAAGTCTGGAGTGTGCATCTCAGACTTACACCATCAATCCTACAATCTCATCCATTAAGGCCAACAGACATGAATATAAGGACAATGACTCTGATAGTGATGATGTAGAGATCATTGAAGTCCATGTGGTCAAACACCCCCACTCCACATGACTACTGCAGCCATCCTTGAGCAACTGTGGGCCATTATTTATATTTATACCACTGTTTGTATAGTGTATCTTTTGTGTCACATTACCGCTCATAACATTCTATTGCTCCAACCTAATAAGTTGTACTTACACCTCTTGCACTTTCCACCAAATAATTATCACAGCTGTCAACTTGGATAATAAGAATCAGGCTGGATACAAGTCTGCAATCTTCACAGAGAGACTTCCTGTGTGATATGGCTGACATGTTTTAGGAGGACAAGGCCTTAGGACAATCAACAATCTTCCTTATGTGATGTCTATGTGGGGGTGGGTGGAATTGGTACTCTCTGACTAGGGCTAATAATGGTTGCCTTTCCTCTTATACCGCTTTGGGTTAGAAGGGCTACAGGGGGAAAGATCTGCGATGCCTGCAAATTGAATTGCCACAAAGCTGAAAAGTTGCCAGCAGCTCAGGGTATGCAAAGGAAAAAGAACTTAGAAAGCCTTTTACCAAAGATACAAGAGACTGTATGAATGTAGCGCCCCTGCTCTCAAGGGAAACCCAAAGGGAAATTTTATGTAGGTGGGGGCTGAGGGTAAGGGGAGGAGGGTGCATCAAAACACTATTGTGTCGCCTGCAGGCGTGCTTCAAGAAGCTATCACAATGGCCACAGCACCCAAAAAGCACACCAATTAACATGGGCTGGCTACCCCACCTACGTGTTTGACACCCTGCTAGATAGAATGTAAAAGCAAATAAAATTTCGAGAAAAAAGATGCAGAACACTGAAAGAACTGAACATGCAGTCGACAATAGTTGGGTATGCAATGTCCAAGTCAAGTTCATAGCATCCAGAGTCAATATTATGATTATGATCATGATAGACGTGTAGTCAATGATAGTCAACATGCAATGTCCGAGTCAAGTTCATAGCATCCAGAGTCAACATTATGATCATGATAGATGGTACTAGAGTAAAATGTAATTATTCCACCCTCCAACATCTCTCCTTATAGCTACTCCAAGTCAGCCAATCTGGGGGCACTTCTGTGCCCCTTCAGTGTAATAATAAGACTATTCTTATGGCAGTTTGGGAAGATGCGGATGGATTCAAGTGTGGGGCAGGGTATACCAACACCTGCTAAAGGCTTCTGGATGGGTAACAGAGCCAGGAGCGCATTTGGTGTACAATGTAGCAACAGATGAAGGAGTGTGGGAACAGTGTCCAAGAGGAGAGTGATTGTGTTCACTGGTATGTTGATGTTGTAGAGCGACAATTCCTGCAGTTTTGGAAACAAGGTATGAGTTGTACAGTATTTCAGAAGGTCATTAGCTTTATCATCTTTACCATCATTTTTGGTGGGTGAATATGTAGTACCAGATAGATGTCGACCCTCTAAAGAGAGTTTGACAAGATTGGGGGCATGAAGCCCACTAGATAGCCCAACATCATCTTTAATACAACAATATCTGTAGTGAAGTTCCTGAAGCTGTAGAAGTGATATGTGGCCTAAAAGTCCATTTAGTGGGCCAGAGATTCTAAGCACAAGTTTTTTCAGGTGAGGACAAGCTGCAAGGATCCCTGAAAACTCATCAGACATTGGCCTGACTTCTCTGCTGTGATGGGAGAGCTCCAACACCTGAATAAAGTTACTGATAATAGGTGACTGATTGGGGGTTGTGCCAAGAGTATAGCACAAGAAATTTGTCCAGTTCAAATGAATGCTATATAGAGTTACATTTTGCAGTGTTGGAAGAGGAGGAGATTGCACTGGGACATCTTGATTTGCAGCTCTAATCAAAGCAGCAAACATGGTCTCTTCTATGGGAACATGTGAAGTGAGCAAAAACAATCATACCTTCTCAAGCACCTCAGATATCTTTGTTTCCTGTACTTTCCAAAACACCACAAGGACAGTACCTCGGTTCTCAACAACACACCAGCCTCTTAGACACAGAACATATTGAATGATGAAGAAACAGTTGATAAATTCATTGTGCCAACAATTGAAATCACCTTCCAGAAGGTGTGGTGTGGAATAGTGGTGTATTGAGCTGCAGCTCTCAGCCGTTCTGCAGGTGATTCTCATCAAGTTGGTGTCTGTGGATACCCTCTGTACCCATAGAATAGGTTACCCTGTGTTGCTGGGACTGCGGACGTGAACAAGTTGGTGTCAGAACTTCGCTGAAATCAACTGCACCAGCCAAATACCACCAGTGCCCCAAGGCAACATTGGAACAAAACAGCAATGACTTAGTGGACACCGCTGGATCAGTGTAATTAATTTTGTAGCAGGCTTCTATGCAATCCCAGTAGATGAGGAAACTCAGCCATCTTTGGTATTTAATACAGAAGGCCAAGGATATAACTGCTACTGTCAAATGCCATTTGGACTAATGGGTGCACCAATGAATTTTGGGGACATGGCTGCTATGGCACTACAAGGTCTTATTGGTTGTTATTCAAACTCTACATTGATGATACAGGAATGGCAGGTGACATATTCAAGGAGACACTAAGAGCCTGTTCAGCAACAAATATTTTGCCGATATTTTGAAAATCGAAATTGTTATTCTGAATCAGAGATTGAAATCTAGTAGATTGCTATTGATATCATTGATCAAAGACTATATGTCTCCTCGTCATCGTTGTGGATCCACAGGAAGTCTAATTTGCAATAGATTGTCAACAACTTGCCTCCCTCGTTGTAAATCCTTGGCCAGAGGTTCAGGACCATCTCCTCAAATGTATGGTGCTGGTGATCAGCATCGTGGTCACCGCAATGCATGGTATATTGCAGACCATGTACTCAAAAGACCTGGAACCCTACCACACCTTGGCCCTCTCTGGGCAAGATTGGGTGATTGAATTACTAACTGGACACCCAGAATGTATCCATTATGAGCTTGGCATGCATGCCAGTAGTTTTGTAGAGCTTATCTCTCAGCTTCGCACCACGGGCCACTCAAACTCTAAATTCATCTCACTCAAGGAACAAGTCACTATTTTTCTTTACACTTCTGTAACCGGCCTATCACTCAGACATGTCGGGGAGCGATTCCAACATTCGAATGAAACTATTTCTAAGTACGTCATATTTATATCTAGGATGCAATACAATATCTGATTCTAGTGCAGGTATTTCCGCAAGATCCTCTTTGCTCTATCCTCCAAACCATTCTATTCGACATATGTCCAGTTTCCTGATGGCTCTGTCCCTCGTAAGATTCGCAGAAACCCCAAGTGGTGGCCTTTTTTCAAAGGTGCTATTGGGGCGCTTGATGGGAGCCACATTCATGTGACTCCTCGCGCTGCTGAATGTGCTGTGTATCGCAATCGCAAAGGATTCCTGTCGCAAAATTGTCTCTTTGCGTGCGACTTCGACCTCAAATTCACTTACGTGCTCACTGGCTGGGAAGGATCCGCAACGGACACACGTGTTTATGAAGATGCTTGTGGGAATAACTTCCAAGTCCCCCCGTGCAAGTATTTTCTCGCAGATGCAGGTTATCCACTACGCCCTGGCCTACTTGTACCATACCGAGGTGTGCATTATCACCTTGCTGAATGGGGATGTGCAAACACCAGGTAAGTTCCTATTTGATTCCGGGCATGTTTCAAACTTATGCTAAGCCCCGCAGGCCTGCAAATAAAGAGGAATTGTTTAATCTATGACATGCATTGGCGCGAAACGTTGTCGAGCGTATCTTTGGCATCTTGAAACATTGTTTTCGGATCTTGTTGCTGTCACCCGCGTATGCCATGGAGATCCAAGCTCGGATTCCCACTGCACTGTGTGCAGTTCACAACTTCATCTGTGAATATGAGCCTGCTGAGTCCCCCACCAATGATGACGACAAAGATTGATGGGGTGGATATTTTGGTAGAAATGTTGAAGAAGATGATATTGCTGCTGTTGAAGAAGATGACGAACTTGAATTTTGTCAAGGTTCTGCAATGTGGGCTGACTATCAGTGCATCTTAGCAGAACATGCTTTTGACGGCGTCGACCTTGATGAAGATATGGATGAGGACGGCAAGGACGAGGGGGATGCGAATGAGGACGCTGTTGATGAAGAAGTTGATGAGGACATTGTTGATGACGCTGCAGGCGGAGATGCTTTTGCTTTCGAATAATTCAGTCCTAGTACTACATGTAGCCTCCAAATTCATTCTATTGTGACAGTCATGGTATTGTATATACATGAAAATGAAAGTGAGCAGTAAAAGAACAGGGCAACATGATGTGCAACAATAATGGGGACTTAGAAAGATTCTCAAGGCACCATCGCATCTGTGATCAGCTTCTCAATGAATGGATGCCTGGTTGCTTTGTCTGTGAGGGAGACATAGAACTCCAGGAAGTGCTCATTGTTCTTCTCACCGAGGACCATTATCAATACAGCACACTGCTCAGCAGGCATGTCTGCATCCTCTATTTGCAATACAGTGGCTCAAAAAGTGTCCCAATGTTTGTAGGTTTTCATGTAATTGTGTTATTGTGAGCCAGGGTGTGAGAATCTGACTAAGTCAAAGGGAGGTCCCAAAAAGCTCCGCTTCTCGGCTACAATTATGTCCCCTATGGCGTGAGAATCCATTGACGCCGTGCGAAGATATGGCTATTTTAATTAGGTGACTCATTGGGACACTTTTTTGAGTTTGAATCAATTATACATAATCTCTATAATTCTAGTACTTAGTGTTTCCTCCCTTAGCTTTAATGACTGCTGCTACCCTCCTAGGCATACTTTCTATCAGAGTCACCTAATTAAAATAGCCATATCTTCGCACGGCGTCAATGGATTCTCACGCTATAGGGAACATAATTGTAGCCGAGAAGCGGAGCTTTTTGGGACCTCCATTTGGCTTAGTCAGATTCTCACACCCTGGCTCGCAATAACACAATTACATGAAAACCTACAAACATTGGGACACTTTTTTGAGCCACTGTAGGTGTACAGCGCGCACCACCAAGTCCTCGCTGTTCACAGGCCCAGGTGGAGGTGGCAGCGGAAGC